AGCAATTGTGGACAAGGTGCCCAGTGTCTCCAGCTCTGCCCTAGTGTCTTCCCTGCACCTACTTAATTGCAGCTTTGATGTGGTCAAGAGCTGGGTGAACGAGGCCCAAGAAGCAGCATCTAGTGATAACATCATGGTTCAGTACCATGCACTAGGACTTTTGTACCATGTATGTAAGAATGACCCACTGGCTGATAGTAAGATGATCAGCAAGTTAACCTGGCATAGGCTGAAGTCCCCTTTTGGGTACTGCCTGATGATCTGAGTGGACAGCCAGCAAGTGGAAGAGGAGGATTGGAACCCCTGACAGCCTATTGTTTGACTTCATCGAGAGCTGTTTGCCATAACAATCACGAGATAGTGTTGTATGAAGCTGCCTCAGCCATGGTCAACCTGCCAGATTGCAGTGCAAAAGTGTTGGCTCCTGCTCTGTCAGTGCTCCAGCTTTTCTGTAGCTCGCTCAAGGCTTCACTCAGCTATGCTCCAGTCTGCGCTGTCAATAAGGTTGCCGGGAAACACTGGTCAGCAGTGACTACCTGCAATCTGGATCTGGAGAACCTGGTCACAGACTCAAACCAGCAGCATCACCACTTTGGCCATCACTACCCTCCTTAAGACAGGGAGCTGAGAGCAGCATCGACCACCTTATGAAGCAGATCTCTTCCTTCATGTCAGATATCTCAGACGAATTCAAGGTGGTGCTTGTCCAGGCTATCAGTGCTCTTTGCCAGAAGTATCCTCAAAAAACATGCGGTGCTCATGAACTTCCTGCTCACCATGCTAAGGGAAGAGGGTGGTTTTGAGTATAAGAGCACCGTTTTGGACTGTATCATCAGCATCACTGAGGAGAACTCGGAAAGCAAGGAGTCAGGTCTGTCAGATCTGTATGAATTCATCCAAGACTGTGAGTTCAAGGTCCTGGCTACCCTTTCAAGTACATCTGCTTCATCTACAACTGTATGGTCCTGGAGCATGAAAAGGTTCTGGTAAGTGCAGCTAGTGCTCTAGCCATGTTTGGAGCCCAGAGCTAAGAGATGTTATCTAGTATCTTGTTGTTGCTGAAGATATGTGTGGTGGATGATGACAACAAAGTGAGGGACCGATCCATCTTCTATCTGAATGTCCTAGAGCAGAAAGAGAAGGCCCTCAATACAGGTTATCTCCTAAATGGTCTGACTGTGTCCATCCCTGGTCTGAAGAGGGCCCTGCAGCAGTACACACTAGAACCATCAGAAAAGCCATTTGACCTAGAGTCTGTGCCTCTGGCTACCACCCCTATGACAGAGCAGAGAACAGACAGCACTGCCGACCACAACAGTGAAACAGCTTGAGGAAATGGCAGCCACCCCCAGCAGGAGATTTTCTAGGAGTGTTTAGCAGCTGTGCCAGAGTTCCAGGGGCTAGAACCCCTCTTGCAAGTCTTCACCTGAGCCAGTGGCCCTCACGGAATCAGAGACAGATTACATCATCCTTTGCACCAAACATACCTTCACTGACCACATGACGTTTCAGTTTGAGTGCGCAAACACCCTCAACAACCAGACCCTGGAGAATGTCATGGTGCAGATGGAGTCCACAGACGCCTATGAGGTACTGTGCTATGTGCCTGCCTGGAGCCTTCCCTACAACCAGACTGGGACCTGATACACACTGATGGTTCTACCCAACGAAGACCCCACGGCTGTAGTAGGCACGTTCAGCTGTATGATGCAGCTCACCAGCAAGGACTGCGATCGCACCACGGGAGACACTGATGAAGAAGACTACAAGGAGGAACATGTGCTGGAGGATCTAGAAGTTACTGTGGCTGACCACATTCAAAAAGCCATGAAAGTGAACTTTGAAGCAGCCTGGGATGAGATCAGGAATGAGTTTGAGAAGGAGGAAAAATTCACCCTGTCTTCCTTCAGGACACTTGAAGAGGCTGTGGGCAATATTGTGAAGTTCTTGGGAATGCATCCTTGTGAGAG